TGTAAATTACATCAGCGTTTTGTTTGTCTTCCATAGCATCTAATGCCATATCATAATGGTCCAGCAACTGCGACAGGCAAGAGCGCCCTGTTCTGAAACCATGTTGTCCGGGGTTACGGAGATGCTGTGATTCCATGTATTTTGTGATCTTACTTCTTAGCACTCTCTCAAATTGTTATGATGTGCGATGTTAGTGCTATCGGTCTGTAATTTTTTGCCTCTGCCTTATTTCCCACTTTATGAAGTGGTGCTATCTCTGCTGTTTTTAGTATATCAGGAATAACGCCAGTATCTAGGCTTTGTCTCCACAGAATGTGAAGGGCCTGCGATAGTGTTTTTTTACAGTTCTTGATGAATATGGAGTTCCAAGAATCCGGGCCTGGTGCAGAGTGCATAGGCATACTGTTTATGGCTTCTTCAAAATCCAGTGGGGATAGGGTGACGTCTGATATATGATTTGATGTTGTTATCATATCCATGAAAAATTCATTTGGGTTATCAATCTTTAGTGTGTTTAATGGCTCGCTGAAAACAGAGTCGTACTACTTCCTCAGTAGCTCGCTCATTTCTTTATTGTCATCGGTGAAAGTTCCATCTCCCTTTCGCAGGGGCCCGATACTAGATGTGTTTTTTTATCTTAATTTTGCATAGGAGAAAAAATATTTCGGATTTCTCTCTATTTCACTGATGGCCTTTTGCTCTCTTTGCCTCTCCTGGGTTTTGTATGATTCTTGTAGCTTCCGTTCAATTGTTTCTATTTCTCTACCTAACCTTCTTCGCCGTTCTTGAGATAGGGTGCGACTCTCAAGTTGTTCCGCGATTCGTTTTCTTCGCCTATATAGGGGACGACGTTCCCGTTCCAATCTGCATCTCTTCCTCTTTTTTCTTAGGCGTATGCGGTTTGAACATATTTCTAGTGCTACTGAGCTTATTTTTTCCGGGCACTGGTTCAGGTTTGCATTTTCTAGCTGTTCTTCCCAGTTTATTTCTGTGAAGTCCTGGTTTATTTGCTCCCAGTTTATCTGTTTATTATTGAAGTTGAATTTGCTGAAATCTCCTCCACCGGGAATCTGGACTGGTTTTGAAGGTCTACTCCCCATGGTTGTCATAACTTCAATTAAGTTATGGTCTGAGTAACAGGTATTTGTAATCATTATGTTCCTGATCAATTCATCATTATTAGTGAAAATGAGGTCCAGCGTGTTTTCCTTCCTAGTTGGTTCTACTATTTGCTGGTTTAAGGCAAACCTGTCGCACATCCGTAGCAGGTCATTTGCATGTGCCTGTTCATTTAGGCTACTTCCTGGTATTCTTTCTGATATTACTGTATTAGCCAGTTGCTTCCATTTCAGGTGCCGTAGGTTGAAGTCCCCAAGTAGGATGATGTTCGGAGCTGGATTTGTGAGGTTTTCCAAGCAGTGTTCTATTTTCATTAGTTGGTCTTTAAACTGCTGAGGGTTTGCCTCCGGTGACTTATATGTAAGGACAATAACTACATTTAGAATCTCTATTTTGATTATCAGCACTTCCACCATATCATTTGAGGTGTTTAGCAGCTCAGTACAGATGAGTGTGTCTTTGATGTAGAGGCTGACCCCACCCTGAAGCCGGTGTTTCCTATCACATCTGAAAAGATTGTACTCTGAGATCCATATTTCACCATCATGGTAGTCCTTTGTGTGAGTTTCCGTTAGGGCTGCAAACACTGTATTTGCCTCATGAAGGAGACCATCTATATAGTGAACTTTGTTGGATTTGCTTGTTTTTATACCCTAGATGTTGGCAAATATAAATGATGTTATCGTGTTAGTGGAAGTGCTGGATGCTTTACTTGGTGTTAATATCTGAGGCTCTGGTAATGAGGCCAATGTGCTTGCGTCCAGGGTGTGTTGTTTTGGAAGTGATTCGTCCAGTTTTGGTAATAGGACGGGTGTTGTGTGGTGTAGTACCTGTGTGCTTGTTGATAATTTGTATTCCAGTCTTGTGGGTATCTCCCTTCCCCTCTGTAATCCTGTAGTGGTTCCATCTGACTGTTCCTCTCTCTTATATTTACTACTCTGTTTCTGCCGTCCTCTAAAAAATTTCCAGTAGTGTCATATTGATCTTCCCGTCTATAACGCTGTGTACCTCTCACGAGGAATTCCGGACACTGAAGATTGTAGCATTTTTTGTCCCTAATTGAAAATTGACATAATTTAGGGTGGAAGTATCTACACCCTGTTCCAAAACGGCATGTACCCCTCTCCAACATGTTCCTGCATTTTCAAGGATGCAGAAAATGGCATTTTGCTCCTAATTTTCCATATTTGCATATTCCTTTAGCGTAGAATTTGCAAATGTGTTCCGGTTTTGCGTTTTTCAAGGTATTTATATCTGTGACTGTCTTGTCTACCTCTTTATTGGAGCCATCTCCGTTTTTCGTCCCAATTCCTTCATTTATGCACTCTGTCTCACTGTTGCTCTCATTGTTTATAATACCTGGCTCTGCAATATTGCTGTTATTTTGTACCACAATAGCCTCTTCCTCCACACTACTGCTGCGGTTCTCTAAACTATCTGTTCCTGAGTTTTGGTCGTTATCCAATGTGGTCTTTTCCCAGTCCGCATATATCACTGGTAGCTTGTCTGTGAATGATAATCTCTGTGACTCGGGGATGTTTTTCATCAGTTTAGTTATGTTCTCTAACATTATTCTGTTATCTTTGTAAACCCAGTAAATTCCTTGCATTTTTATGCATCCTGGAGCTAATTCTGTACATCGCAGGTGAAATCTTATGTTACAGATGCAGCACTGAACGCCTGCATTACGTTTTCCCAGTACTCCCGAACACTCGCCACACCTCTCCATTGTCTGATGTATTGTACTGTATTTGAGGTTCACTGTATGGATCACTTGTTGATGTCAGTCCTTTTAACTCTTTATAAAATTATATGTATATATTTATATGTTTAATATTTATAATATTATATGATTACTGTATATTTGTAATATTATGTATGTTATTTTGTTCAAACTTTATGGCAGGTACTTAGCATATGGTAGCGAAGCTGGTCCCCGGTCGGTACAGGTGACCTCTTGTTGTCCCAGGTTGATGTCACCAGTTTCCAGTTACTCGATTTATAACCACTGATGCCGCCTCTTGCCACTATTCTATATTTCTAGTATTGTATATTTATAATATTCTATGCACGATTTTCCTTCACTTCCAACTTATATGTTGTTGTGATACCCGTTCCACATCACTGTTCCACGAATCACCGTTCACTATTTTTTCCTCATACACGCATGTACACAAAGCCTCGTGCACTGGCTCACACGTGGTCTCCCGTTTATTCTCTATTTAACACAAAGTTCTAATGTTAATGACTATTTTCAATTTTTCAGCGGGTCACTATGCACTTTGTTATGTCTGTAATCAGTAATCCATGGCAGTAGTCCTAAGAAATCCTAGTTAATGTCACGATTTTAACGGAGCGCGCACGGTACGTCTCCCCCCTCCCTCGACCTTGACTCGGGAGGTCGAGGCCATATTGTTTTGGACGAGCGAATTGGAGCAGTGTCCATATATCCACAACTGCAAATTCCTGCTTAAAGCCATAAAGTCAATTGACTTAGTTCAGGGCAGTGTTAGCATCTCACAGTGTGATAAGTACCTCATAATATTAATAGTTCGGCCATAACATTAATAACTAGGGGGGGATGGTTAGTGAGATGGTTAGGCTGCATGACTAAACCAAATTCCCAATGTAAGAACCTAGGCTCATACAGAGCTCTTGCTTGTTGAAAATTAAGGAACAATAAGTAATGTTCTAAGTTTGATATTAATATTCGATTCATTGGCAGGAGAATTGAAATCAACACCTCTGCGTCATAGGTGAGGCGGCGAGTTAACTTGGAGGCTGCTCTGTACCACGATGACCATTCAAAGCTTAGGCTGTTGAAGAAATCACCTAGACAGATAAGACGGAATGTATTTACTAACCCCATTCAGATAATAGGGGGATTTAAATAAATCCATCAATTAAGTTAGTTAACATTATTTTTTATTATAATTTTAATTAACAATTACAATCTGAATTAACAAGCCTATCTGAATTATAACTAACACCACCAAACATCCACAGTGCAAGAATTAAATTGTCTATGTTATACAGTCCACTCAAACTTAATACCAAATATTTAAATATACAGTCCACTCACTAAAAATACAATAAATATATAAACTTAGCCACATAATTCCTGTGTACTCCTCTAAATGCTTCTCTCACATATTTCCAATATAAATAATTGCCAATGAAACTAAAACGTATAGCCTATCCTAGGCCTAACTATGCACAAAACCATTATTATAATAATAATTTGAATAAGAATTTTTTCATCAACTGTGCAATAAATTTTGAGAATGACGGCACCAGCTTAAACAAGAATGACTTCAGAAAAAGGATTTTCATTGATGACACCAACAGTATTCATTTTCATAAACTAAATTTTATTTAGTGAATATGTTCAATATTTACACGATCTACATCATTGTAACATACATCTTCATCACTGTAACGTACATCTACATCACTAACATACATCGACATTACTGTAACATACATCTACATCACTGTAAAATACATTTACCTACATGTATTTACAACATACATACATTTAAACTAAATTGATCTAAAAAAAATGCATGTAATCATTGTCTCTGAGTCACAAACAACTTGATCAATCTCATTAATGATTAATAGATGGAAACAGTTTATGCTGATGTGTGTATATTACCTGTACTAGCAGCTGGTGATGTATGTATACTACCTGTACTAGCAGCTGGTGATGTATGTATACTACCTGTACTAGCAGCTGCTGATGTATGTATACTACCTGTACTAGCAGTTGATGATGTATGTATACTACCTGTACTAGCAGTTGGTGATGTGTGTATATTACCTGTACTAGCAGTTGATGATGTATGTATACTACCTGTACTAGCAGTTGGTGATGTGTGTATATTACCTGTACTAGCAGTTGGTGATGTATGTATATTACCTGTACTAGCAGCTGCTGATGTATGTATACTACCTGTACTAGCAGTTGATGATGTATGTATACTACCTGTACTAGCAGTTGATGATGTATGTATACTACCTGTACTAGCAGCTGGTGATGTGTGTATATTACCTGTACTAGCAGCTGGTGATGTGTGTATACTACCTGTACTAGCAGCTGGTAATGTGTGTATACTACCTGTACCAGCAGCTGCCAATATAACAACCTTCCAGATCAACGTTGTGGGCGCCATGATCTACGTCAGTTGGATGACGATTCTTCAGCAACTGGAAGCAGGTAAAACTATTTACTGCGGAAAGAAAAAATCCTCACATAATAAATAAAGTTTTATAACAGGAGGTTGGACAATAGGTACCACATGGGAGAGGAAATACTTCAAGAATCGAGTAGAGTGCAAGGCCTGCAAGTTGATATCAAATCAAATTGGTTCCCTGAAGTCCTCATCAGATAGTTATATAAACGAGCCTACAGTTATCTACCCAAATGCAAGATAAAATTGGAAACATTTAATAGATAAACCACTAGACAATTCCCAGAACTATGAGGTATGAGTTACGAGAAAATACTAATGGAATTAAACATCCTAGCAGGAAGAAACACAAGAATAAGGAGAGATATGTTTACTGTTACCTAATTAGTATGTACAGCTCATGTTGAACGAGATTCTATTTAAATAAAAATGGAAATGTTCGTTTGTTCAAAATCGCTAATCTCCGAAAGTTCTTCACCGATTACCTTGCATTTTTCACACAACATTCCATTCGCATCTGGCCAGGTTTTTATATACATACTATATAGATGTCACGTCGGTGACGGGGGAGAAAACAAGTTTTTTTGAGGGAAATCTTTGAAAGTTCTTTATCGATTGCTTTAAAATTTTGACACAACATTGCATTCGAATTGGCGAGTGTTTTTATATACTTTCTATATACATGCCTCACCTGTGACAAGAAAAAAATATGTTTTTTTGAAAAACAGTACAACCTGTTGGAAGTAAGAGCAACACATGCTGTAACCTCCAAAAGTTCATCACCGATTGCTTTGAAATTTTGACACAACGCTCCATTCCAGTACGTGCATGTTTTTATATACCTACTATTTAGATGCCACACCTGTGACAGATAAAAACATGCGTTTTTTGTTTTAACAGAGCCATCTGTTGCACGTAAGAGCAACTCATTACATATAAAATATGTTACGATTCCATTTACATGTTTCCGATTGCATTGATAAATGGAATTTTCATAGATTTTGATTTATTTTAATTTATATTTAATTATTTAGTGTAACGTTGCATTGGAATTGAGCTGTGTTGTTTACCATACCGTTCATTTCGTGGGTTTAGCTTATTTCTTTCTTTTTTCATTGCTTTTCTTTTCGTTTTTTTAACTGTTCTTATTTTTCAGTGCAATTGGTGGTGAAGTTGAGCTGTGTCGTTGATCTACGTTTGAATGGAAATATTTTGTTAGTTTTTGTTTTTCTTTTGAAAACAAGAAAATGGACAACACGTTTATTTCACAGCTGCAAATGGGCAACAAACAGCTATGAATCCACTGGCTACAATGTTAACTGCTTTTTTCACGTTATGTCAAAATGATGCGTTTGCGTAAACACTGCTGTATTCGGAAGTGCCTATGTATTACACATGGAATGCCAGTAGAAAATCATTTGAACGATGCAGACAAGGAGAGCGAGTCGACGAACAACCTGGCATATTCAGATAAACTACGATAGGCAGACTGTACACTGTGCACCAAAATCAAGATGAATGCTTCTTTCTTCGCATGCTGTTGGTAAATGGGCCCGGTCTAACGTCTTTCCAGCCACTGAGATTTGCCAACTGCGCAATACATGCCACTTTCCATAGTGCATGTCAAGCTCTGAATTTATTGGAGAACGACCGACACTGGGATGTATGCATTAATGACGCGGCCAACACGTCACATCCAAATCAAATTCGTGTATTATTTGCAATCATATTGACAGCCTGCTCTCCTCTATCTCCAACTGAGTTATAGGAGAAATATAAATCGCACATAACTGAAGAAATTATCCGTCGAATGTGCAAGGAAAATTCAAATATGAACATGGATTTCACAGCACAAAATCTACAATGACGCGTTGATAATGATTGAAGATTTGTACTTAGAAATCGCGAACAAAGTTCTAAATCAATTGGGAATGCCATCAACGAAACGATCTGCTGCTGCTTCGTTCGATGTAGAATTGTGTCGTGAACAAAATTACAGCACGGGTGATCTGTTGTCGTATGTGCAATCAAATATTCCTAAGCTAACGCTTGAGCGAAAAGGCATTTGCAATCAAATAATTCAAACTGTCAATAACGGGTTTGGAGAAATCTTCTTAGATGCGCCTGGAGGCACTGTGAAACCATCCTAATTAGATTGATTCTGGCCGCATTTCGATCCCAAAACGCATTTCCTTAGCTCATGCATCGTCCGGAATAGCTGCGACATTGGTACCAAGTGAAAGAACTGCTACTTCGGCCTTGAAATTGCCACTGAACATTCAATTCCTTGAAACTCCCACGTGCAACATTTCCAAAGCATCCAGCATGGGAAAAGTATTGCAGAAATGTAAACTTATTGTTTGGGATGAATACACAATGGCCCATATTCGCTCGAGGCTCTTGATCGATCATTGCAAGATTTGTGTGGAAACATCAGACCATTTGGAAACGCATTATTATTGCTTGTAGGAGATTTCAGGCAAACATTACCTGTAATTCCTCGATCGACACCAGTGGACGAAATAAATGCTTGCCTGAAATACTCTACTTTGTGGCGCCACGTAAAGACGTTAAAATTAACTACAAATATGCGTGTCCAGCTGCAAAACGATCCATCAGCTGAGATATTCTCACATCAATACCTGGAAATTGGGAGCGGAAACGTGCCGGTTGATCTGACCTCAGGACGAATTTCATTACCAGATAACTTCTACAATTTAGTGACGTCAGAAGAAGAATTGGTTGAAAAAGTATTTCCCATTATTCAAACCAATTATAAGAATCACGATTCGCTGAATGAACGAGCTATTCTTGTGGCCAAGAACAAAGACGTCTACTAAATTAACAATAATGTTCAGTCTAACATTCAAAGTAAGGCAGTCACATACAAGTCCGTCGACACTGTTGAGGAAGCAGATGAAGCGGTTAATTATCCAACAGAATTTTTTAATTCACTCGAACTGCCAGGCATATCATCACACGTATGGCAATTGAAAATCGGCTTGCTAATTATCATCTTGCGAAATATCAATCCGCCAAAACTTTGCAACCCCACGCCCCTTGCAGTAAAAAAATTAATCAGCGACGTCGTAGAAGCAACAATCTTGACAGGATTTTTCAAAGGTGAAGATGTCCTCATTCCTCGCATTCCTATGATTTCAATAGATATACCAATTTCAATTGAAGAGATTGTAATTTCCAATTCGATTGGCGTTTGCAGTCACCATCAACAAAGCTCTGGGCCAATCTTTACAATTGTGCAGTTTATATCTAGACACGGATTGCTTCTCATATGGACAATTATATGTTGCGTGTTCTAGAGTCGGCAAACCAGACAATCTCTATATCTCCACAGACAATGGAACAACAAAAAATATTGTATACCCACAAGCATTGTAAAATCAAACATATTAGAAACGAGCGCTTTCTCTTTTCTGTCTTTTCCATTTAATCAAAATGAGCCACAGTAATGCTGTTACTACTGTAACAGCATTGTTACAGTAGTAACAATACTGTACAATGCTAGTACAGTACCACAGCTGTACTAACGGGTACAGCTAGTCTATATAAATAAAAATGTAAATGTTCGTTTGTTCAAAATCGCTAATCTCCGAAAGTTCTTCACCGATTGCTTTGAAATTTTCACACAACGTTCCATTTGCATCTCAGCGGCTTTTTATATACATATTAAATAGATGTTAAGTCTGTGTTGGGGAAAAAAAATAATTGTGTTTTATTCATATGCTTTTCAGGTGCGGGAAATCTTCGTAACCTCTTTTCCGATTGCTTTGAAATTTTGACACAACGTTGCATTCGAATAGGCACGTGTTTTCATATGCCTAATATATACATGCCTCATATGTGACAGTACAAAACAAGCTTTTTTAAAAAACAGTGCCATATGTTGGACATAAGAGCAACACACTCTGTAAATTCTGAAAATTCTTCACTGATTGCTTTGAAATTTTGACATAACGTTCCATTCAAATTCGTGTATGTTTTTATACACCTATTATATAGATGGCACACCTGTGACAGGTAAAAACATGTTTGTTTTAATAAAAGTGCCATCTGTTACTCATAGGAGCAACACACGCTATACTAAAATGTTACAATTCCATATCAATGTTTCCGATTTCATTGATAAATTGAACTTGCATAGATTTCGATTTATTTTCATTTTTATTTAATTATTTTGTGTGACATTGCATTGGAATTGAGCTTTGTTGTTTACCATAACATTCATTTCGTGAGTATAAATGACACACCTGTGACAGATAATAAACATACTTTTTAAAAAAAAACAGTGCCATCTGTTGCAGGTAAGAGGAACACACGTTATGCTAAATATGTTACAATTCAATTTCAATATTTCCAATTGCATTGATAAATTGAATTTTCATAGATTTCGATTTATTTAATTTTCATTAAATTATTTTCTGACATGGTGTTGGAATTGAGCTGTGTTGTTTACTATACCATTCATTTCGTGAGTATAAGTATAGATGCCACACCTGTGACAGGTAAAAACATGGTCCTGATAAAAACAGTACTATCTGTTGCATGTAGGAGCAACACATGCTATACTAAATATGTTACGATTCCTTTTCAATGTTTTCAATTGCATTGCTAAATTGATTTTTAATAGGTTTCGATTTATTTTCATTTTTATTTAATTATTTTGTGTGACAGTGCGTTGGAATTGAGCTGTGTTGTTTACCATACAGTTCATTTCGTGAGTATATTTTAATGTTTTATTATATATTTTTTTCAATTTGCTTTTTAAACTGTTCTTATTTTGCAGATCTGATGGGAACATCAGATCATTTGATGTTCCCAATTTTCTGATGGAAACATCAGATCATTTGATGTTCCCAATTTTCTGATGGAAACATCAGATCATTTGGGAATGCATCAGATAAAGAAGTGGGAAATGGTAGGGAGGACGAGGGGACGTGGGTGGGGGATGGGAAGAAAGACGAGGGGAGAGGGGAGGGGGCAATAGTGGGGATGATG